CTACGACAGAATGATTGTGCGCCGATGGTGGGCTGTGAAGGAAAGCCTTCCCCCTCATATCTTCATGCAGATCAGGAATGGAGATAAAACTACATAGCAATACCAGCCCGGTTGAGCTAGCTCATTTTATTCAACTAGGTCTACGGCCTCGGCTTCACTCCACGGACTTAGATCGAATGAAATTTCACACCCTATTCTCTCCATTCCCATAATGTAACGAGGTCAATGCTGTCCGTAGCACATACTAAGTTTTTATGAGTCGCGGGCGCGTGATCAGATTCAGCCGATAACGGCGTCGTTCGAGGCTCTAATAATTTTGAAAGTCGGCTCCGAATTCGGCTCGTCAAAGCGCGAATCCCGGGCCGCAATCCTATTGCCGAGATCCGAGGCGAGTAAGAGCTATTGCTATCGTAGATGAGTGGAGTTGCCCTCTGTTTTATTATTATCTGTTTATTATCCGCTGCTATATTCGGAGTAGCTTGGTCAGCAGCTTGATGCTCAGCTTAGGGTGATAAAAGTAAACGGTTCGGAGCGTAGCGCTCATGTATCTTGCTACCGGGTCGAGCCCGTCCTCCATTCTTATCGGGACATTAGGATCGCGGAATGTTTTGACCCACTTTGAGCTCGCGAGGCGGAATTGGAACCATCCGGGACCCGAGACCCTTACAAGGGAGTGAAATCTCAGAGCATGCTCATGGATGAATGAACGATTGTTTTAACGATCTCCATCCCGATTGTGTACTCGACGTCGCGACGGCTTCCCAATCAAGAGTGAGCTTGTACCGCTCCCCGATCAGGTCTGCGATGAATTTTCCTTTCCACAAGCAGGAACGCGAGAAGGGCGCCGTCTCACTGCTGAGGTACGCGTCTTCGCGGCAGCATAATTGCTCACTCTCTCTTCTTCTTGGAGGGATCGTGCTTGAACAATCCGACATGGTTTTGCTGGCTGGCATAGCCTGAGACATGAGCGAGAAAATCGTCGATTATTTAAACCGGAGCTCACCGAGGCCTGAAAGCTCCCCGCGGCGCCGCCGCTTTCCCTCCGTCGGAACAGTCGCAATCTCCGGCCGACAGCTTTTGTATCGGAATCTCACAACATATTATAGCTCTAGCCGTAGCAATCGTCTCTTCTCCCAAAGGTCGACCCAAAAGAGAGTCGAAGATCTCTTCATACTCACATTTCCCTCGATTTTCCCGAATCCGATAGGCTTTCGACCATCGAGATGTCGATGGCGTGCGGTTGAAAGCTCGAAGGCCGCGGTCTCGGAGCAATGACTTTGAAACGGGACCGAGACATGTAGATTGACGCGCGAACAAGGATTCAGAGCAGTTTGCGTACAACGCTCGTCAAGTCGTTCGCATTCTGTGAATTCAGGGACCGTCCGTCACAGACACAAAACTCAAAAACTAGCCCGAAACTTTGAGGACAATCCGTCTCGGCCCTCAATCGTCCCGGTGTCTGTCGGGACGACGACCGCCCTGTCCTCCAAAGGGAATCAGATACGGCTGTTTCACTCGATCAATCTGATGCGATAAGCGGAAAAACCAAATCGCCCATGGGAAGTCTCCAATCCCAGCAAAGTTCCCGGAGAATCAGATGAGCCGAGGCATGCCGTTCGGAAAATAACTCAATACGATGAATAATTTGAATCAGAAGCGATCCCGGATCCAAGTATTGTCTCAACTAATTACGCCCTGATTCAATGTAGGGCCCGGAGGAAGAATGGATTATTGGAGCCGCGCCAAAATTATCCCCGCGAGACGTGGCCCTCGTTGAAAAATCTGCTAGTGTTATGATGAATTATTAAAGACTGCTCTCGGAGCCCCAATCGAATTTGTCGAGAGTTGTCGACAGAAAGCACAGATCACGGACAACCTCTTGCTTAGATTCCTCGTCCTTGTCGCTTAATCTCTTGAAGAATGTGCGCAGTCCGCGCGTGAGTCTCAACGTTCTTTTTGTCAAAGTCGTTCGCAACGGAATCTGAGGAACTCCGATTGGAGTTGGAGAAGATACAAGGACGCAGAGTCGGACTCTCCCATCGCTGCTATGCAGCGGGAAAAATGAAAACAGGTGGAATATATGGGCATCATCTATCGGATACACTACAGAATTATGAACGACAGTTACTAGAGACACTTACTTAGACTTGAAAGCATTGGGTTCGATTTCGTAGCATCCCATCATTCCGAGCGCCCGACTCGGAATAATATGATGGGATGCGGAAGAACATGATAGAATGCGAAGGAACATGAAACTTATGCGATGCTGACACGCAAGCTCTGGAAGACGATGAGCCCCCGAGGCTGGCAGGAATAAAATCCTTTGGTACCCTCGATCCTCTGATCACCCCGATCATGCTAGCTTAGAAGGCAGCTGCGTCGTCCTTCGAATCGCGCCTTGGTGGAAAGGTCGAAGCATCATGTAGAGAGAGCTAGTGGAGAGGAGGCACATCCAGCAAACACCGGAGAAAAACTTGCTGGTTTTTCGGAAAAACTTGAGAACGATGCGATTTAGCGAGTGAAAAATTGCTTCTTACGCAGGAATGATTCTGCATCGTAACGAAGCAACTTGAAGTCCTTTCACACGCTGATAACTCCGATTTTCGGTACGGTACGGACCGACATTACCGCTTTATTCTATAGGGGGCGAGCTGCGACTCTCCATGGTCCGATATGGAGGCTGCAGTGAATCATTTCGGTCGCAGAAAGCTAGTTCAAATCGCGAGTTAGAATTGAATCGTCTCGCTCAGGAGACGTCACGCATCCGGAAGCATAGGAGCGGGTCGCTATTTCGAACCCCAACCTATAGGAAGCCTGGGTCACCATTGGGAGGTTTTTCTCGTTTACGATTCGGATCTGGACCTTGCATTAGAGGCGGCCGTGTTTTAGACGGAGGCTCCAATCCTTTGAACAGCCTCGAAGGGCGGCTCCTGTTGGAAAGGGGCTTTTCTTCGGAGATTCACGGTAAGTTTTGGAAGAATTTATATTTCTCTCCAGGACTCCGCAGCCTGGAGAGCGGACTGATGACGGAGGAGCTGGACGAGCGGAAGCGTAAGGGCGGAGGCGTAGCATCGATCTGATAGAAAGCATTCGCCGAGACATTGAAGTCCGGCGACGCCGGGGCTGGCTCAGACTGGACATCTCAATCTACTGATGGGACGCGGCACAACCGGTTTGTCTTCGAGTTGTCGGACCGATTCCATAGACATGTTCACGAATCCGAGCCGGCGGTTAGCGCCTGAACCCGACTGCGCCGACTCGAGGAATAGTGATTCCTCCTCCGATGGATCGTGTCCTCGATTCAACAGAGGGACCCATGGAGTCTTCGAGAGCCTTCAAGCGCCCGCGTTGCGTTGTTGGCGCTGGAACAAGGAGCGATACCTGCTGTTGAGGAAGCGTAGCTGCAGCGGTAGACACCGGAAGCTCGGCTATTAGATGGGGTAATGTTCGAGCGTATCGCGAAGAGAGGAGCGTCGAAGTATATTGGACCGTGGCCTCGCACGTCGGTTACTCGATCGCTCAGCGCATTTACGGCGAATGTCGTCAGCGGGAAGAGACTGATAAATACTATCTCGGAAGATCTGTGAACTTGACCACGATACGCTTCAGAAAAACTCGATTAGCATGATGTGTCGTTGCGTCAGGGTCGAGAGGGGATCGCGCACCATTTTAAACTAATCGTCCAGATATCGCCAACGGGGAATATTCATCAATCGCTCTAACCCCATTACATGTACTTTGAATTGTTTTAGAGCGATCAGAGCGAGCCCCCGGGAGTATTCCGGCGCTCGCTCTTCCCGCTCCAGGTACGCCTATGGATGGTCGCGCGTCATGGCTAGCGGAGAGGAGTGATTGGAACTTAGTGTCGCGCGAACTTTGTTCCGGGAACCTGCTATCCCCTCAAAGGGTAATTGAAAGGATCCTCCCGCGGTATCTGACGATCGCTGCTATGAGCGGACTCGAGTCCAGCTGAAGCGGCGAACACGAGGACAAGATAAACTCCATGGCTAATAGGAGATCCCGGCAACTTCCCAAGGGAGAGCGGAGGCAAATCCGATAAGAGTCTGCCGCAGATCATCGGTGGTAGGTTGTCAGAGACCGGTTCGGCTTCGGGGTCTCTTCGCCACATGGTGATGGAAACCGAATAGGTGATGCTTATGAGGGAGAAACATCCCTCGAGTACATCTAGGAATCATAAATCAAAATTACAAACCCCGATCGGGGCGAAAACCGCGATGCGAGTGCGCAGATGGTGGAAGAATGCAAGATTGGATTTTCCAGAACGAAAAAGAAGATCGGGGGATGGTTTTCCGGAGCGGGTCTTGTTTACCCTTCTCGGTCGGGGGAGCTAGAAGACCGGGGAAACCAGGTTTCACGCTTGGAAAGCCATGCTCTCATGCTTCTCCGCTGATATCATTGTTTACAAGGGCTCATGAACGTAGGAGACCGTTTCTTTGGACTCTTATCTGCGCCCAATTACCCGCATTTGGAGCGTGAAGCTTCGCGAGGACCCAGACCTGGCTAGGAGAGCTGCGTGATGATCTCATTCACCAAGCCAATAATCACCTCGATTGACCACTGCTGTGAAGAATTGTTCTCAAGTAGAAAAAACGCCCTGGTTTCCTGAATTCCCAATACTTTCAGATCATTCGCGAACGAGTCCAGCAAACAGTCTGGAGATCTAGACGATAGCGGGACGAGCGTCGTGACGGATGTTTGGCCGTGCGCCAAACTCGAACCTCATTCGCCTGTCTGCTGCGAGTCTGGAGTGACGCCTGACTCATAGCTCGACACGTACTCCTTGCGTGACAGCTGGCACCTCTCGCAATTAGTCGCTGCCGCGGCTGCCAGCCTCAACGCGATAGCCATCTCCTAACGAATAGATCTTCCTTTATTCAATTTCTCTCTGTCTCTTCCATTCCCTGGCCTTTCGTCTTTCTCGGGAGAGACATCGGAGGTGATTCTGATAATGGCTAGAGAGGGAAATCTCGAATGAAGAAAAGCACAAGCGTCGGCGTCGCTCATTATTGTCCAGCACTGTGCTTGAGGAAATCATGCCGACCGCGGTCAGCAAGGACTCTACCCACGGGTTTTCGAAAGCCCAGAACGGCACCAAGGAAGCCCATACGAACGAGGACCCACTCCCCGAACGGGTTTCGAAGGGTTACATCAAGGAACGTCGCACATCGCAAGCGAGCAACTCGCTTGTTTTCACCATCAGGGAAGGTGTCGGCCAGCTCGCGAAAACGTTGCAGATCTTCACGGACAACAACGTAAATCTCCAACACATCGAGTCTCGGAGCTCTCAGAAAATCAAAGATGCCTACGAGTTCATCGTCAACTTCGACACATCCAGTGGGGGCGACCTCAAATCCTGCATCGAGAAGATTAAAGAGGGAGCCGAACACGTGACCCTCTGCACCCGAGAGAAAATCTCCCGACAACTCTCCGACGAAGTCCCCTGGTTCCCGCGAAGAATCGAGGATTTGGATCTCTTTGCTAACCACATCCTATCCTACGGAAGTGAGCTGAGCGCCGACCATCCCGGTTTCACCGATGAAGTCTACCGGGCCCGTAGGAAGGAAGTGGCCGACATCGCGTTCAACTACAAGCACGGTCAGGAAATTCCGCGGGTCGTGTATAACGAGAGGGAAGTCGAAACCTGGAGGATCGTGTACCGTGAACTCACAAAGAAATATCCAACCCATGCCTGCCGGGAACACAATCACATCATGCCGCTGATGGTCGAGCATTGCGGTTACCGAGAGGACAACATCCCACAGCTGGAAGACATTTCGAGGTTTTTGAAAAAGGCCACCGGCTTCTCGTTACGTCCTGTCGCCGGACTCTTGTCATCGCGGGATTTCCTGGCTGGTCTAGCCTTCCGTGTCTTCCATTCGACGCAATATATCCGACACCACACGACACCGTTCTACACACCGGAACCGGACGTCTGCCACGAATTGCTCGGCCACGCACCCCTGTTCGCGGATCCAGATTTCGCTCGGTTTTCGCAGGAAATCGGTCTTGCCTCCCTGGGAGCCCCAGACGAGTACATCGAGAAACTCGCCACCTGCTACTGGTTCACCGTGGAGTTCGGTCTGTGTCGCCAGGACGGCGAGCTCAAAGCCTACGGGGCGGGACTGCTCTCGTCGTTCGGGGAGCTCGACTATTGCCTCAGCGACAAGCCTGAGGTGCGAACCTTCGACCCCGCGGCCACCGGCAACCAAAAATATCCCATAACGCAATATCAACCTGTGTACTTCGTGGCGGAGAGCTTTCAGCAAGCTCAGCAGAAGATGCGAGAGTACGCGTTGTCTATACCGAGACCGTTTGATGTCCACTACAATCCGTATACCCAACAGATCGAAGTGCTAGATAGCATTCATCAACTCCAAGTCTTGGCGAGCGACCTCGGTGTGGAGATGTCGTTGCTGAAAAGTGCGCTGAAAAAACTTCAGACGTGAGCCCGTTCGTCGATGGAGGGGAATCGGGGGGAGCTCGTTGATTTTGCCTATTCTCCCCCGTGCCGCTCCCCGACGGAGCTTCGTGGCCCCGTCTCACTTTTTATCAAAACGAACTCGACGCGACGACTTGTTGGCGCAGTCGGGGCGACCATTGATAAAAACATTCCACTCTCTATCTTCCCTGTTTCCGGATTAGTTTACAGGGATCGGTTTCGAATTCATCTCGCGTGCCATCTCAGTCACGACGCTGATATATTACAATAAAAAGGAGGTCAACTACCACGGACGCTGTCTCCATCTCCTCATGTCCATCGCAGCCTACATTCAATCGCTGGTCGATTTTTTCTCTACTTGCTCATAGTCGATACGAAACTTCCCCTTTCCCCTACCCCCATTCCGCTCGAGCGATTCAGTCGGAGACGGTATAACACTTCGCGTGTTTACTTGTTGCGGATCCCGATAATCCCAGCCGGACTTATACGGGTGCCGTAGAAACGTGACCCATATGGACTCCTTCGAGGGTCATTGATACATTCTAGGCCGAGGCGATCGCATCCATTGTATGGTGCCCCCACGTTGCTCCCGAGCCACTTAGTTTCTTCGTGCAGTGCTTGCGCGTGAAACAAATTCATTAGTTTCGCCTAAGTGATCGAGCATCCTTGTTTTCTTTTGTGTCTGATAAGGAGCCCACAGAGGCTCAACTAGGTACTTTTAGCGAACCGTTCGCAGCGATATGAGCAGACAAATTCATACGCCGGACTAATGATTTCCTGGAATGAGCCGAGTTTCGACGAGCGAGCGGATTGCTGCTGAACATGACCTCGAAACCTCCTTTTCGCAGCGGGGCTTGTCCCGTAATAAAACAAGCGCTCTTTATTGCTCTTGCGGATGATACAGCACTCTTGTTCTTATGAAAATGAGTTGTCTTTCAAACACTCGACTTACTCAACGAAAGTGATAAAGAGAAGGGCCCCCGACGAGTGGAGTCACGGCTCTATGTGTACATAGGAGTCCTCATAAAATTGAAATGATCTTGTAGATTTGTAGCGATTATTCCCACGATTGCGGAAGCCGAGAAGTTTCGGCAAATGATTTGTGGGCCTTCAGGGTGATCATGGATCGTGAGATGTTTTTTTTCGGGAGAGCCGCGTTTGAAATTGCCTCGCAAGATTTCGGGATGTCGAAACGCCCCCCACAGCTCTACCCTGACGTGGGTCCCCTCAGGGACCGTGCCGCACGGTCCGTGCGGATGTTGTTTGGAGAACTTTCCAGGAGTCTGCTCACCTCGACCGCGCGGAGTGAGGGTCGAGGTTCACTTGGTTGCAGTGTTGATCCCGATTGTTGTGAACCAGCGTCGCGAATCGGTTCGAGCGTGTTATTCACAAGTGATCTATCTTCTAGCAAGTCTATCTTTTGGCCGAAGCTTTTGACCTTGAGCACTTCATGGAAGATTCGTGAAGCGGAACAACGCTCGGCGTTCGCTTGCTCCGACATAATGGAGTGTAGGGCCTTTCCTCCGATGCGACGTGAGAGAAATCCGTCACCTACACGTGTGAGCCCTGAAGTTGTTGTAGCATCCTCTAGTACGTACAGAAAGATGTTGCCCCTCTAAGTGAGCTTTCGGCGGCTTCTCGCCGAAAAAAAGCAATTTACCGCCACACCTGCGCATCTAAACCGGTTTCCTTCCCTTAATGACGGGAGGGATGGAGAAAGTCTTCACTCGACAGAGTAAGTGCGTCAGCCTCTTATCGGAATAACAAGCACGAACCGAAGGGGATCCTTCGGAGACGCCCTTGTGGCGCGGTTACGGGAGTGTTTCGCAAGGAGCGTCAGCGCTTGATTGAGTGTCCACAGAGTCCGTGGCAATTTCCGACGTCCCGTACTTTTTCCACCCTTTTCGGAAGAGGATCCCGATCCAGGTACGGGATACTGAATTCCGCGCTAATTACATCAACGCTAGAGAATCGTGGCTCGTAATGAACCTTACTGGGGTCACCGTTGCTTGCACAAGCATCAAGAGCAGCTGTTGACAGAATTCAGGAGACATCTGGCTGAAACAGCTCAACGGTATGCTTCGACTCGAAGTGCTGATCCGTCGGAGTTAACGTGGTCGCTTAGCGAGCGCCGCCCGTGATGGAAGAGGTGTTACCGACACCTTGTCGCTCATGGATCAACATATGTTCTCCAGCAGAGGATGATTGACGCTCCCACGGAATCCCAACATCATGTACATAAATTTGTCAGAGATTGCATAGTCAGCAGATACAGTGAAACCTCGTTATAGCGGGTTTGGACGGACCGGACGACACGGTCATTTATATCCGGAATTCGTTCCATTCGAAGATGGGTTCTGAATCAGAATGAAACGTCGAAATAATTCGAAACACCGCTACGGCCTTTTTTACGGCGCGCGTAAGGGCGAGGAAGCTTGCAAATAGTCCGATGGGCTATCGCTCCTGAATTCCCTACCCGCGAGAATAAGGCCGTCATTACCGATTTGATCAGCATGGGAGGAGATCGGTCCAGGGCCTGGAAATCACTATTTTATGACATCAAGTCCTAAATTGGCTCCGCTATTGCCGAGTCCCGTAACATTGAAGACCCCAGGGCTTGTCGGGGACCGAATTCCGGCGAATCTTCTCGGAGTAACTACTGTGCTCCTGGGATGGCGAGCGAACTCGGGAAGCGCATCAAGGGTCTTTGAGCGGTTTCCAGATGAGTGCGTCGGGCAATTGGGAAAGATTGCCCGTTCCCGCCTCCGCACGATTCGGCTTATTGCTCCGGGGCTGAAGAACTGTCTTGGGAGCTCGCTCTCCGCTAGTGAAATTATCGCGAATCCCGGAGTCTTAAACTGTATCGACCCGGGGTGGCAGTCGCAGTTTCCGTCAGACATGTTATCGAGTGCTCTCGAGAATGGGGCATCGGCTTTCCCTTGAGATGCGAAATGGTCGCAATCCGCCGTCGCAGGTGTTTCGATGGGCGGCGCCCCCCGTAATTGCTGAGGAGTTTTCTTTTCGCGATATCAGGAACGGATAAAGTTGTCCAGGGAATCTTCCTCCCGCTAAATAAGACCATTCGAAGTCCTTTCATCAGGGTGACAATAATTCAGATGCGAGGTCGTATGAATTATGTACTTGTGTGAATGTTCGATTACTGAAGTTTCCCGCTCAATTCGCTCATCATCGACCGGAGATCGTCTTGGAACTCGATTATCGACTGCCGCGCTGTTGAGAAAATGCGAAGAGCTGCCGTGTCTTACATACGATCGTTCACGACAAGATTCTCAGCTCGCTCGTGTCGTCTTCTGTTTCCGCTAATTGGACATCAATTCTGAGTCAGTATCGCGTCTTTCTGATCGAGCGCGGAGCTCAGTCAAGTTTCCGTGCAATGGGGAGGGGGAGCCCTCGCGGGGCAAGGCTCGAGCTCCGATCGAAAAGAGGTAGAAGGAGCATTTCTTTCCCACGAGATTCAGTGCGCCGCGGCGCCGGTCTCCGAGCCCCGGTTGCGCTGAAGATGATTTCTCAGTCAGACGCACGAATAATCCGTGCAGCTAAGAGCTCATGATGGCTCAATCAAGTAAGCATCAGCTCCTTGGAGAAGATACATATGTAGTTCGGGGTCAATGGGGAGCAGGGGACACGAGGCGAGCCACAAAGATATCGTCACTCCTAAATACACCCGAATATTTACGCGGAGCATCCGCGACTGACACAAATGCTTTCTTTCCCAGCTGAATATAATTTCTCCGAGTTCTCAGCTGATTCATCTCTCTCCGCGGGTATTATCGGCCAGTTTCGTTCCCCGTCGTCTCGGATGAGCGGAATACCTGAGGCAGGTAGGATTCCAATCGAGTGCTTGTTCTGCTGTGGGTATGCCCCGCTTACGCTTCCCGGAGTCCCGTTCTAATGAGTGTACTTTCACGCGGTGTTTCGCACATACTTTTTGTATGCAGAATACTTCGATCTTCGATCTGATGGACTGCGCCACCCGCTCTTCTTTCAGCAACGAAATCGGCCGAATAAAAGCCAGGCTGGAGACAGGTCGCGAATTGGTCAAGTCCCGTGCCCTTTTCTCTGCCCAGTTCCTGACCGTGTCGATGCTCGTGAAGGTGTGGCTGCTACTCTTATTCAGAGGTGTCCCAGAGCATACGGCGAGCCGCTCTCGGAATAAACTCTGATACGGATTAGTGAGACGACGCCTCTCTCAGGAGTTCCGGATAATCTCTCTCCAATCGGACGCCGGCAAGCTCTCGATTTCGTTACGCGCCCTCGCTCGCAATGATCGAGGGGAGAGCTCTTCGAAGCTGAGCGCCTCGCTGAATCGACCTTTCTTCGAATCGCGCCCAAATAATCCAGTCTGGTTCAGAGCTTCTCAGGAAACCTTCCGAGTTGCACCATGATGATTCTCGGTCGCGACTCGCGACGGAATCGAAGCTGTCGTCAAGTCCCCAAGGTTCTCGGAACCAACCTCTGGAATGTCCCAGGTATGGAGAGCTCTATGTCCGGACAGCGCCACCAAGTGCTTATTCATGATGATTTATGGGCACAAGCGAACAAGAACCTCTCGGATGTGTCTTCCTCAGCGAAAAACGCAGTGATCAGAACACTTACCGAGGACGCTCAGTCTCGAGCTGGTCCGTATCGGAACTCTGCGTTCTATTCCGTCTGTGCCTCCTTCGATGCCGTGTAAAAGTATGGGAGCTCCGTCATCTCGAATCGATACAGCCCTTGGTGCTGCACCTTGACTGATCCGCCAGCCGAGCGTCTCATTCAATCCAGGAAGCAATTGGCTTCGATCAAGGATAGGAACCCCAGAGACTTCCTCTAGCGGTACCTTCCGCTGGGGGCTTCTAAAATTAGCGGTCTAAACGTCAGAATCGATGTCGCACGTCGTTTCCGCGTATTTCGGGGGATATCGATGGCCCTGGAAGAAGATCCGAATAAGCTGCAGTTCTTATCGAATCATGATCTTCGGGCATCATCGATACTCTGACTCAACTATCCTTACCAAAGGGGGAATCCGCAGGGGACGCGGACGAGTCCCGCGATTCCGACCGCGCATTAGCAGATCGGATAGTACGTGGAGGTCTCGTTGGCAGACTCGATCCGGTTCGCAGATGCTCATAGCTCGAAGAGAATGCTGTCAAATCCAGCATGACGCGACGGAACTCTGACAGATGTACCCTTATGCTCGAAGACTCACAGACAAAGTTCTGATTAAATGTTTTCTTCTACGGCTATTGAGTTTTCCTCCTGCAGATTCCGTTTCTAGGCTTTTCC